TTTTAGTTCAGTTTTTATCTGTTCTATTACTCAGTAGTTTTTGAGCAGTGAGTTGTTCAGCTTCCATATGTCTGATGCTTTTTTCTTGCTCTTCTTATTATTAATTTCTAATTTTATGGCATTGTGGTCTGAGAAGATGCTTTATAATATTTTGATGCTTTTGAATTTAGTGAGGCTTATTTTATGTCCTAACATATAGTCTGTTCTGGAGAAGGATCCATGTGCACTGGAGAACAATGTGAATTGAGCTTTTGTTGGTTGAAATGCTCTGTATACGTCTATGAGTTCGAGTTGCTTGATTGTATCGTTGAGTTCTTCTGTATATTTGTTGAGTTTTTTCTGGTTGACCTGTCCGTCTTTGAAAGTGGTGTGTTAAAGTCTCCTACTAATAATATAGAGTTGTCTATTTTCCCTTTTAATTCAGTTAATATTTGCTTTACCTATTTTGGAGCACTTTCATTGGGTGCATAAATATTTATTATTGTGACATCTTCTTTGTCAATTGACATTTTCTGCATCATGTACTCTCCTTCTTTAGCCCATATGATGTTTTTCACCTTAAAGTCTATTTTGTCAGAAATTAATATTGCCACTCCTGTTCTTTTTTGGTTTCCACTGGTTTGGTATATTTTTTTCCATCCCTTAACTAGTCTGACTCAATGGCACATAACAACAACAACAACAAGTCTTAATTTGTTTCTATCTTTGTGTCTAAGGTGGGTCTCATGTAGGCAACATATCGATGGGTCTTCTTTCCTTATCCAGTCTGCCACTCTCTTTTTCTTGATAGGTGCATTTAGTCTGTTCACATTGAATGTAATTAGTGATAGATATGAATTGATTGCTGTCATTCTATTGTGGTTTTTTTTGTCATGTTGTTGGTGTTTCCTTGGTCCATACACTTTTCTGTGCTGAGTTCGGTTTGTTGGCTAATACATTCTCCTTTTCTTCTTTATTATTGGTTTTGTGCTTATTAAACACTTATGTTTTCCTTCCTTCTGGATTTGCTTAGGGGGATTGTTACTTTTCTCTGTGGTTTTCTTGGAGTACATTCTTGTCCCTACATTTTTAGAACAGTGCATACTGTGAAAACATTGTCCTGTTTTCCTCTCCATTTGGAAGTTTGTACCTAGAAGTTTTATTCCCTCTGATAGGTTAGTTGCTGCTGTTGTGTGCTGATTGACTTCCTTGGTTTTTAGTGTACAATGTTTTGTGTTCTTATTTTGAGTTTCTATTCTTGATTTGGTTTTAGTGTTGATGCCATATATCCTGATTTTGTTGATCTCTGTTGTGGGTTCTCTATTAGAAAAACTTCTTTTAGCATTTCTTGTAGGGTTGGTCTGTTTTTTGAAAAATCCGTTAATTTCTGTTTGTCTGAGAATGCCTTGATTTCACCCTCATATTTGATGGATAATTTGGCTGGATATAGGATTCTTGGTTGGAATATCTTTTCCTTCAGTGTTTTATATATGCTGTCCTATTACCTTTTTGCCTGCATGGTTTCTGCTGAGTAATCAGAGCTCAGCATGACTGTTTGATTACTATAAGTAATATTTCTTTTGTCCTGGGCAGCTCTCAAAATTTTTTCTTCGTGTTTGGTTTTGGAGAGTTTCATTATAATATGCCTTGGTGTTTTTCTCTTGGGATCTATCTTGTCTGGGGTTTTATGAGCTTCTTGGACAAATATCTTTTCTTCTTTCATGATGTGGGGGAAGTTTTCTGTTAGTAGGTCTTCCACAATTTTCTTGGTGTTTTTTTTCACCTCTTCTTGTTTTGGAATTCCTATGAGTTTTATGTGGTGTTTTTTTTATGTCATCCCATATAATTCTTAGGTTCTCTTCATTTCTCTTAAATCTTTGTTCTGATTTTTCTTCATACTGGCTGGTCTCCAGGAATTTGTCTTCTAGTTGGGATATGCATTCTTCAGCCAGTTCTAACCTACTCTTTGTGCTTCTACTGTATTGTGTAATTCTGTAATTATGGTATCCATCTTCTGGATTTCTAACTGCTGTTTTTGTATGAGCTCTGATTGTGCATTAATCTTATTATTTTCTTCTTGAGTGATTTTCCTGAGTTCTTCCAGGAACTGTGTTCTCCTTGTTTCTGTTTGGGGTTTCCTTAGGCTCTTGTAAAACTCTATAAATATATCTTCTAAACTCCTTCTCAAATAATTCTATTGCCTCCTCTTCCTCCATGTATAATAAGACCTTTGTCATTTTACTTCTAATGCCTTGTACTGTTTTTTGTTTGTTTGTTTGATTTGAGGTTACCTGTTGTTTCCTAGACACTTTGAGGTTGTCTTTCATTGTTAGTTATGTATTGATTTGTTTTGTCCTGGTTTTAGGGTGTAATATTTTGAAAAGCTGAAGCTGGTGTATTTTATTTATTTATTATATTCAGGTATGCTTGGTTGCTCTGCAGTTTTCTTTGTGATGGTGGAATCACCATTTGGAATGTGGATATGGGTGTCTGTCATCATAAAGAGGGTTTAGAGTTCGAACCAGGAGGTTTTATTATGGCTGAATGTGCTTTCTTCCATTGGATAAGTGAAGTTTTTGGTGGAGAAGGTGGGAGCAGAAGAAGGAAAGCTTTTTGTTGCTAGGCGTGGTTTCTAGGGCTTTGAGTGGGCTGCTACCGATGATGTCACACTGTTATTTACAGGCCTGTACCTCAATTTCAGCAAAGACTCCAGTTTTTAGGGGGTCACCACTTTCCACCAGGCTCAGACACATGCAAAAAACCCACTCCTGAGGCCCCGGGTGCCAAAAAGCCAACCCAAGACAACTTCCCAGCTCCGCAATCCACTGCGGGGGTTTGTCTCTCTGGACTTTCCCGTCCAGCGCACCAGCCCAACCCGCCTGGACCATGATCCACCTCAGGAGTTCCTCTGTGAGTCCACCCACCTGCAATGCCAAAGATCTGCTGGGTTTCAGTGGTGCTGGAGTTGGGAGAGTGACCGCTAGTAATCTATAGTCCCAATATTACTGATAAAGTCAAGCACAGGCCTGTCAGTGCCACTAAGCTGACCCAAGCCTACTCAGTGACCCACTCTGGGGGGAGTGGGCCCACCCTCCCGCAGCACCAGTGGACTCTCTGCTCGGGTTTCAGTGGTGCTGGATATGCCCATTTGTACCTAACCGGCCCAAGTTACTTATAAAATCAGGTGCTAAAAGTAGATCCTTGGGGTGATCACTGGAATCCTGGTGTGGTTACTAGTAAGCTGGTGTGGCATGTCTTCTGCCTTAACCCAGGGAGGTCTTGGATGGCCATCTGCTTGCCTGTTGCGCCCCCAGGGAAGTCTCCGATGGCCTTTCTCAGCTGCTGTCAGCACTCTGCAGAATAGATCTTATTTTTTCTCACCTGTACCTTTCTTCTCTCTAATTCTACTCCTCTGAGTTTGGTGCACTCTGACTCAGTGAGTTGTTCAGAGCATCCAAATCCCTAATTCAAACTGCTGTACCTAGTTTTTCAAGCACTAAGATATACTGAGGGAGATAGAGTGGTGATTACTGAAGAGACTCCATTTTGAATCAAGAAGGCTCAATATTTAATGTGTACAAGGAATTTTGTTAAAAGATATTTTTTGAGAGTGTCTGTGGAGCTTAATTCAAGAATACTTTGACCAAAGTATTCTAGGAGATTAGAACTGATAATGTTAAGGAAGTTTGCAGCTTATTGGTGAAAAACAAGGCTCCAGGAATTGATGTGATACCCAATGAGATGTTATAACAAATGGATGCTACACAGGAAGCCCTCGCTTGTTTATGCCAAGAGATTGGAAGACAGCTACCTGGCCAACTGACTGGAAGAGACTCATATTTGTATCCATTCCAAAGAAAGGTGATCCAACAGAATGTGGAAATTATCAAACAATATCATTAATATCACATACAAGTAATATTTTGCTCAAAACAATTAAAAAATGATTGTGTCCGTACATTTGCAGGGGATTGCCAGAAATTCAACCTGGATTCAGAAGAGGACATGGAACAAGGGATATCATTGCTGATATCAGATGCATCTTGGTTCCAAGCAAAGAATACCAGAAAGATGTTTCTTTGTGTTTTATTGACTACACAAAGACATTCAACTGTGTGGGTCAAACATATTATGGATAACAATTGCAAAGAATGGGAATTTCAGAACACTTAATTGTGCTCATGAGGAACCTATACAGAGACCAAGAGGCAGACGTTCAAACAGAACAATGGGATCATGCACATTTTAAAATCAGGAAAGTTGTGCATCAGGTTGTATCCTTTCACCATACTTATTCAATCTGTAGGCTGGGCAAATAATCTAAGAAGCTGGACTATACAAACAAGAAAACAGCATCAGGACTTGAAGACTCATTAACAACCTGCAGTATGCAAATGACACATCCTTGCCTGCTGAAAGTGAAGAAAACTGGAAACTCCTGCTGATAAAAATCAAAGCCTTCATTCAGTATGGATTATACCTCAACATAAAATAAAATAATAAAAAAAAAAATCTTCACAACTGGACCAATAAGCAACATCACTGCAAAAAGGGCAAGGAGGCCACATACTCTGACCTCCTAGAACCCCACAAGAGGAAGGCAGAATCACCATCAACAGCACAAGGCCTATCACTGCAAGGCCAGATATGCTGCCTTCCTCCAGGCCTTCCACCAACCGTTCCTCCCAAAGCACCCACAACCTCTCTCCTGGGTTCGATAATTCGTTGCAGTGGCCACACAGAACTCACAGATTATGGAGTTTATTAGAGAAGCACCAGGCTACAATTCAAGTTCAGGAAAAATGCTCAGTCTCTCTCCCACCCTACCATCTCTCAGCCAAGTCTCTCACAGTCTCTCCCCCAGCAGTGCATGTCCCTCGGTGTCTTACTCAGCAATGCGTGTCTCTTGCATCTCTTTCCCAGCAGCACGTGTCTCTTTCCGGGGCACGTGTCTCTTTTAGCAGCACATCTTCCTCAACCAGCAGTCGGGGAGAGTTCTGCCTCTAGGAGGCCTCCTTTTGAGCCCGGCAGAGTGGCCAAAGTAGCCAATCATAGCATCAGAACTCTAAGCACATGAGAGAGAGTGGGAACCTCCCAGAACATTGTATTGTGCCACGCCCAACAGAAATAACCCAGGTGGATAACATTTACAATCAGGAGCTCCTCAGTTGCTCATTCCACCACTGAGTTTACAATGACTTATGGGTAGAAAAGTCATACTAAGTAATTTACTACACTGCAATCACAATAAATGGAGACAAGATTGAAGTTGTCAAGGATTTCATTGTACTTGGATCCACAATCAATGAATGCCTAGGGAAACAACAGTCAAGAAATCAGACAAAATATTACATTGGGCAAATCTGCTGCAAAAGAGCTCTTTAAAGTATTAAAGAGCAAAGTTGTCACTTTGAAGACTAAGATGTGCCTGATCCAAGCCATGGTATTTTCAATCATTTTATATGTATATGAAAGCTGGACAATGAATAAGGAAGATCAAAGAAGGATTGATGCACTTGAATTGTGGTGGTTAGTGTGGAGAATATTGAAAATACAATGGACTGCTAGAAGAACAAAAAAATCCGCCTTGGAACAAGTGCAGCCAGAATTTTCCTTGAAAGTGAGAATGGCCAGACTTCGTCTCTCATACTTTGGTCACGTTGTCAAAAGGAGCCAATCCCTGGAGAAGGTTATCATGCTTAGTAAGTAAAGGGTCAGAGAAAGTGGGGCAGACCTTCAATGAGATGGATTGACACTGTAGCTGCAACAATGAGCTGAAGCATGATAATGTTTGTGAGGATGGCACAGGACCTGACAGTATTATATTCTGCTGTACATAGGGTACTATGAGTTGGAGCCAACTTGACAGCAATACAACAACATGGACATTCATACACTGTAACGGAGGTGATAGAAACAACTAATTTCTATGACAGAGAATAAGAGAGAGGCATTGAGGTAGAGGCATGCAGGTAAAGGGCAGAGAAAGCTGTTCAGGGGAAGGAAAGGCCTAAAAGGCCCCTGAAGGAGGAGAGAGTTTAACAAGACAATGGCTGTAAAAGCAATCAAAAGAAGGAAGTTGCAGGGTTACAAGGGGTAGGTCATGCCTGCCACTTTGCTATCTGAAATTTGACTCATCTTTTTCATCTAAGTCATGCACCAAAACCAAAAGCCAAACTCACTGCCACAGAGTAGGATCTGACTCATAGCGACCCCTCCTTGGGTTTCCAAGGCTGTATCTCTATGGAAGTAGATTGCCCAACCTTCCTTCTGAGGAGTGGCTGGTGGGTTTGAACCACTAGCCTTCTGATTAGCAGTCAAATGCCTTAGGTACTACACCACCAGAGATCCTAAGTCATACACACTAAGTCAAGCACAGGCCTGTCAGTCCCACTAAGCTAACCCAAGCCTACTCAGTGACCCACTGTGGGGGGAGTGGGCCCACCCTCCTCCAGCACCAATGGACTCTCTGCTCGGGTTTCAGCGGCACTGGACGTGCCCATTTGTACCTAGCCAACCCAAGTTACTTATAAAATAAATCTTCCTAGCCTCTAGGGAAAAAAGAACAGAAAGTTTGTAGCTTAACGAACCCTTGTATTTTCTTGCCATGTATCTCCTTCCTGCCTGCATAGAGCCCTTTGTTTACTCCACCTGATAAAAACTTCACTGCCCTTCCACAATTTGGAACACTGTAGTACTTCCCTGGTGCTGGTGTCTCCAGATGTGTGAATCTCTCTACCTTTCAATAAAACTCTTTTTTCTTTACCTCTAACAGAGTGTATGCTTCCTGTGACAACTTCTTCTCACTTCCAAGCTAGTTACTTGCAGAACCGGTCCCACAGGGCTCAGACCACAACATAGCCTTCAGCTTAATCAATCATTGTTAAAATGCTATGGATTACTAAACTAGAAAGGGGTGGTTGTGATGCTAGAAGAACCATGAGCCTTTATTCATATCCGCCTCCTGCCAGCATTGTTTTCTGCCTGCCCTATGGGATTTATGAGAAACAGAGAAGTTTCCTAGCTTCTGTTATAAAGCATCCATTCAACTTTAAATTTTATCCCCTTAAACTCATGTCTGTGGCTATTCTATGGTCTTTACAGCACTAGAATTAATTTCCTATTTAAAACTCATAAAATTTGGCAAGTTTTTTACTAGATATTTTGTTTTTTCTTTGAGCTTCATGAGTTAGTTTTCCTGTGCCTACTTGCCCATAACTTATTCCTCTGGTCTAACAGCTGTCTTTTAAGGAGCGCAGCTTAGGCCTCTTGGGCAAAAAGGAAAAAAGTGGGATTGTGAGAAGCATGTTAATTAGCTATCAGATCTAGCCTGCTTTTGTAGTCCAGAGCTTTGAAATGTTGTTGTTGTTATGTGCCGTCAAGTCAGACCCGACTCATAGTGACCCCTCCTTGGGTTTCCCCTCCTTGGGTTTCCGAGGCAGTATCACTATGGAAGTAGATTGCCCCATCTTCCTTCTGAGGAGTGGCTGGTGGGTTTGAACCCCCAGCCTTCTGGTTAGCAGTCAAGTGCCCCAGCCACTACATTACCAGAGCTCCCTTTGAAATGTTACATGTTACAGAAGTGTAAATATAATCATGGCTTTTGGCATTTAGTTAGTAAATTTATCACAGCTGAAGGCTTAGTGTGCTTCCACCTCAGGATTCCATTATCCCAACGCCTGAACTGGCTCTGTCATTAATAGTCCATCTCTGGGGGCCTGTGCCCCAAGGACTAGTTTCCTATTTTAAGTGGCCTCCTTCCCTCCAAACCTCCATTACCTTTGACCAGACCTCCTATTCCAGCATGGAGACTTAGTCTTCTCCCCTTCCCTTTCACAACATAGAAAGAAGAAAGTTCCTCTGCGGGTGAACTATCTTCTTAAGTCTACCCCTACATTGTATTAAATTATTCCAAATATTTTCTGACTGTCAGATCAGATGCTTACTCCTGCAAGAGAAGCCTGTATGATTTACTCAAGCTGAAACCTCTTACCCCCCTTGTCTACAGGGACCCTTTCTTTCATACGTTTCCTAAGTATATCACTTGCCAGGTCTGGGCCAGGCTCTGAGATCCCAGTTTGGTCCCTTGGATAGACTCTATGAATCCAACCACTGCTATAATTGTACATGGAATATGAAGTTAGAGTAGGTCAGGGAGTGAATCCTGGAAAGCTTTGGACTTTAACTACCAAGGCAGACATCCAATGAAGGAACAGGAAGGGCACTGCAGGCAGATGGAAGACTGACTGGTAGCTGAGTCTACCACCTTTGCTTCTTTATGGCATACTATTCTGTGACTGGTTTTCCTGTTGTTTCAGAAGTCTTTTAAATCTTGTTTTGTGAGGCAACTCTTCCTGTTTCTGAAATTGTGTTCTCCCAATCACCTACTTTTGTAAAACAGCCTGGGAGCTTAATATAGAGGAATGGAGGAATGAACGAACAAACAAATGAGTGAATGTGGGCCAAACTAGCCCAGAGTTGCTCCATCTGAGGAAAAGTGTTAAAAATAAAATCTTGTATTAATTCAAAAGAACAACACAATATTTGATTGCTTTATAATCTAATAAACAATTTTCAAATTGAGTCAACATTCCCCTCCTATAATAGGAAACCCCTTCCAGATAATGGAGATTTCAGAGAGATTTAAATAATTTTTGCTTAATGAATACAAGTTTCTAAGTTTCCATGGTGATGATGGGAGCTCTGGTAGCATAGTGGCTAAGACACTTGACTGCTAACCAGAAGGCTGGTGGTTCAAACCCACCAGCCACTTCTCAGAAGGAAGATGGGGCAATCTACTTCTGTAGTGACACTGCCTCGGAAACCCAAGGAGGGGTCACTATGAGTCAGGTCCGACTCGACGGCACATAACAACAACAACATGGTGATGAAGTACATGATGGCTACTGAGTTAGCACTTGAGAGTAACTACTGAATATCTGGCCTGTATAAGAGCTTCAAATCAGAGGCACTTCATATGCAGTCTGAAAGCAGAGCCTTCACTCTACTTTAAAGCCTTGACATGACTCTGGAATCCTTGTTGAACTTTAAAAGCTGCCTTTCTAACAGCAGTTCTTGCTGACCTAACCACATACCCTAGAGGAGACATTCTTTTTCTCTGAGGTCTAGCAGCTGCAAGATGTCACAATCTATACCCAGAGGGTCTTTCCACTATAGTCAAAAAGATGCAAAATGTGATAACTTATACCCAAAGGGTCTTGATCTTTACAATAGGACTCCAGAAACAAACATGCTTAATAAAACAATTTTAACAGCAGGTTACCTGAAACACTTGCCCTGCCATTGTCCTGTGACCATACTATAATAAGCTGAAGACTATGTACACTTGAAATTATGTATCTTTAACCAATCATATAATACTACATATGTTACCCACCTATCCCTTCTAAATCCCCACTCTTCTTCAATACTTTGCCTTGGACTCCTCTGATAAGTCTTTTGGCCAATTATGTTGTAACTTTTAGTTACTGCTCCCACAATATAAAAATATTTGCTTCCTCATTGTCCAGCAAATCATTCCATTTTCACTCTGAATATGGACATCTTCCAGAGCCAGACTGCCTCTATCCCTCAATATTTTACTTGAAGCAGACTTATGATGGTGCTGTATACAGGCCCTTTATCCAACTGTAGTTATGAGACCTCTTGAAATTAAAATTAAGGTAGTACACAGGCTTTTTCATGAAATCACAAGGTAATGGGTTTGTTATTGACTGCTCTCTTCCAGGTGGAGGTGGAGTGGGGTTGGTAGGTTTAACTATACAGCAAAAACAATTAGCAACTTTGGTAAAAATTGGCCAGGGAAATTGCAGGCAAGATCAGTTTTGGGTCAGGAATTTTTAGGCTTCTGGATAAGAACAATCTATTGAAATAAAAGTAAAACATGTATTTTTAATATAATTTTTTTCAAAGAAGTCAGGCAACATTGCAAGCACCAGTGCTCCAGGCAGACACTCACCACCCTCTGCCCAATGATCAGCTATCTGGACCCGAAAGAGAATGTGGAGAAGAGTCTGAAGTTGGCAATTCTGAATTTGTTCCTGAAGCTGGAAGAGAAACTCATCGTAATGTGTGGGTCCTGAACATTGCCTCTACCCACTGTTAAAAAAAAAAAATAATTAAAACACAAGAAATTGAAACATCGGGTTTATTTCAGCAGTTATTCTGTATGTTTATAGGGAAATCATTCCATTTCTTATCATCAAAAAAAAAAAAACAAAACGGGTGAATAAAAGTTAGATGCAATGAAGCTTCTAAAGAGGAGGAAGGAGTTGAATAGAAAATCAACCATTGGCTTATCTTAACATAACATATTGAACCACATCATACCCCATTATCGAGATTAGCTGGCTTCCTATTAATATGTGGTCTTCATTTGCACAAAATTTGTGCCACAAATCTTCAGGTGTAGTCCAGAGCTTTAAAATGACAGAAACCAAAACTCACCAGCAAGTTGATTCCAACTCATTGAGACCCTATAGGACAGAGTACAACCTCAATTTTTCAGGGAATTCTAAAGATTATCACTCAGGAAACAAGGGAAAGTAAATTGAATTGAATTCTTTACATTAGATAAACCCTAAGGTAGTTTATGGGAGTTCTGGTGGCATAGTGCCTAAGGCACTTGACTGCTAACCAGATGGTTGGTGGTTCAAACTCCACCAGCCACTCTTGGGAAGGAAGAATGGGCAATCTACTTCTGTATTGATACTGCCTCCGAAACCCAAGGATGGGTCGCTGTGAGTCAGAGACAACTCGGCGGAACATAACAACAAGGTAGTTTATGGCTAACAAATATCTTTGTCACAAAGGGAGGTTTGTAAAGACTTAATCACTGTGTCAAATTTGGCCTCGGTTTTCTTATTATTAACACCACTAAAAATAATTAAATAAATACCAGTCAAAAACACGCAAAGGACTGGACATTGCTCCAGATT